CTTTTTCTGTTTTCATATAGGGTTATCGTTACCATCTTTTTAAATTCCATATATATGTGTTAGTATACTGTAATGGTCTTTATCTTTCTGGCTTACTTCGCTCTGTATAATGGGCTCCAGTTTCATCCATCTCATTAGAACTGATTCAAATGAATTCTTTTTAATGGCTGAGTAATATTCCATGGTGTATATGTACCACAGCTTCCTCATCCATTCGTCTGCTGATGGGCATCTAGGTTGCTTCCATGTCCTGCCTATTATAAACAGTGCTGCGATGAACATTGGGGTGCATGTGTCTCTTTCAGATCTGGTTTCCTCGGTGTGTATGCCCAGAAGTGGGATTGCTGGGTCATATGGCAGTTCTATTTCCAGCTTTTTAAGAAATCTCCACACTGTTTTCCATAGTGGCTGTACTAATTTGCATTCCCACCAACAGTGTAAGAGGGTTCCCTTTTCTCCACACCCTCTCCAGCATTTATTGCTTGTAGAATTTTGGATAGCAGCCATCCTGACTGGTGTGTAATGGTACCTCATTGTGGTTTTGATTTGCATTTCTCTGATAATGAGTGATGTTGAGCATCTTTTCATGTGTTTGTTAGCCATCTATATGTCTTCCTTGGAGAAATGTCTGTTCAGTTCTTTGGCCCATTTTTTGATTGGGTCATTTATTTTTCTGGAGTTGAGCTGGAGGAGTTGCTTGTATATTTTTGAGATTAATCCTTTGTCTGTTGCTTCGTTTGCTATTATTTTCTCCCAATCTGAGGGCTGTCTTTTCACCTTGCTTATAGTTTCCTTTGTTGTGCAAAAGCTTTTAAGTTTCATTAGGTCCCATTTGTTTATTTTTGCTTTTATTTCTAAAATTCTGGGATGTGGGTCATAGAGGATCCTGCTGTGATTTATGTCAGAGAGTGTTTTGCCTATGTTCTCCTCTAGGAGTTTTATAGTTTCTAAATCCAGAATTCTATATGCAACAAAAATATCTTTCAGAAACAGACATGAAGGAAGACATGTTACTCTTTCCGCGGAGAGAAAACTAAGAAAATTTCTTCCCAGCAGACCTACACTAAAAGAATTACTAAACACAGCTCTTAAGAAAGAAGGAAAATAACACTACAAGGAAACTTGAAAGTTTGGGAATGAGCAACAGAAATGGTAAATATCTGGATGCTTCCGGTAGGCAATTTCCCTCCCTTTGAATTTATTAAAGTATGATTGAGAGCAAAAATTATAACATTGTCTGATGTATGTGGACAATGTGTCACATTGTGTATGTGTCAATGTATGTGGACGTAATACATAAGACAACTCTAACATAAAGGGAGGAGGGAGAAGTCTATAACACTGTTTCTATTTTCCACTTCATGTGGTAAAATACTGATTTAAGTAGATTGTAGAAAGTTAAATATGTAGACTGTAATTCCTAGATTAGCTTATAAAATGTTCTATGTAGAGATATAGTAGAAAACACAAGTAAAATTTAATACCAAAAGAATATTCACATAATCCAAAAGAAAGTAGACAAGAAGAAACAATAATTTGAGGGGGAAAAAAGAGAGGTAACAAACAAATAATAAAATGACAGATCTAAATCCAAAACCTCCATCATCATATTAAATGTAAATGGTCTGAACACACAAAAGAGATTGTCAAAGTGGATAAAAATATATGACTCAACAATACACTGTCTATAAGAAACTCAATTCAAATATAATTATATAGATAAGTTAAAGTAAAAATATGGAAATTATATAACATGCAAACAACCCTCTCCTTAATGAGAAGATACTGTGTCTAGGAAACAATAGTCTTTTAAATGCCTAGGGATAAGAAGATGGAAATGGCAGGAACTCCAGATATTAAATGGTTGGTGTGGGCCACACTGGAAGCTTGGATCCCATAAAATTATGAATCATACCCTTTTACTCCCAATATATGGTCATGTGAGGCTAGAAGCTGACTGATATAGATGGTTTAGCCGTGGTCTCCCAAAAGGGTAAACCAATATGGACTTTTTCCCACCACATGATATTTCCAAAAAACGTCCTCCTTGAAAATCAAACATCCCTTTTTTCAACATTTAAAAACTAGTACATATATCCATGGAAAAAAATGCTGCTACACCCAGATCACTTTATCCTAGCCAGCCGAGAGTCTATTCTGTTTGCTTGCCAAAAGCATTTCATTTTTAATATAGTCTCCCTCTGCAGAGACGACCTCTTTCCTGAAGTTTGTTGTTGCCATGCTTTGACTTCATTCCTTTTAGTATTTTTTACCCTCATACTTACACCTCTGTCTTCCAAGGAGAAAGGCTACTTTCACTTAATGAGAGAGGATGGTATCCTCTTCTGTCCTTTTCCCCCTCAAAAGGTCTTAATGCAATTCTTACCTGGTTCAAGATACTAGGAATGATAAACTGTTTTGCCAAAAGTTTTACTTTCATTTTAGGTTCAAAGGATTTGTCAAGAGAAGAAACCACTTGTCACACACAATTAACAATTTCAATATTTAATAGAGAATGAATTGACTTAGTTTCAATATACAGTCATTAAAAGAAAAGAAATAAAACAAAAGAAAAAAGTAACAGTATACCTACATCACCAAATTGAGCTGACCAACACCCAGACTAAATAGTGCTGAGAAGGCCCTCCTTAACAGCAATCTGGAGTCCCTACTGGGAAAATGCACCCAGGTGGTGCATTCACCCCATGGGTGAGACCTCAAATTGCAGTTTTGGGGGCCCCCACTTATAATCCCAGGCCACAAACTGATATCATCATCAGTTTGTGTACAAAAATGTAGCTGTTTTGTTTTTTAATTTTATAATGCTGTTTGTTTCACCTTGTGAGTCTTAGGATTTCTTTAGACCCCTGAGGCTTGGTCAGACCCTCAGGGCCTTAGAATTCCAAGAGCCACTCCCTTTCTTATCTGAAGTGCCACCTGACTTGCTGTGCTTGCAGGAAGGTCAGAGGCCTACTCTCCTGTTTCTGAAACCTGAACAAACGTCCTCCATTTTAATTTCCTAACAGCCTCAGGATTGTTTAGGTTGAAGAGCACAGGAATAAGGCAAAATTAAATAAGCAGCTTTCTTAATTCTATACAACAATTCCAGATAGTCAAAAGAAACAGAATAATCAAAGAGACAAGTAAAGGATTAAACAAAGCAGAAAACAATTTTTGAGCAGTAAGGTATTTAGTAAAGAAAAAGCCCCACCATGAACTAAAAGTATGTTTTTATACATCAACTCCTGCAATAGTAGTAACAACAGAGTGTTCTATCAAGGTAGCATTGCATTTATCTATGAAATTTTGTAACTCTTTGCTTCCTTGCAAAACCTTACATAAGGATTCTAAGAGGAAGCTAATATGGGATCAGAAAGAGTAAGGAGTAACATTTGTGTCTACAATAGCTGAGTTCTCCTGGAGGGTGCAGAAGTAATAGGTGGTCACTTCCAATATAAACGATCAACATGTGTTAGGCATCGGAGAAAAGGGACTTCCATACATAGAAATAGTTTCTAGGTCATTGGTTACAATACATACAAATTGAGGGGGGCTATTTTTAAAAAACATAGGATTTAGGAAAGATAGTCCATTCATAATAGTTAATGGAGTTCTCCAATAAATAGGATTCCCAAATGCAAAAAGTTGGTCCACATAGCAGTCCCTTGATAGCCTTAACTCAATCTATCAGTTAATAGGTGTGGTTATCAAAGTCCAAATAATTACCAATGAAATGAGGGAACAATATTCTTCTCTAAATACAATAGGTAACACATGAAATTGGCACATGATACTTGTGTTAACTACACTATAATGATAACGTTCCTCAGCACAAGATGTCAGGGCACTTTGTAAGCCATTAGGGATGATTGTTAACAATCTATTCTCTCAATAATTTTTTCCATGTGTACACATTAGTAGACATTAAAAATGTCTTGGGCCTTATCTTTTTGAGCAAGGTAATATAATACCTGCATAGAGTCCAACCAAATATGTCAGTTAAGGATTTAGTTTGGTGTAGCTGAAATATTACTGAGGCAGGCATTAAACAATTGCAGGAAGTTTTTGTCATACATTAAGCTAAGTTCATGTGCTTTAAGTGTTGTAGGCATCCACTTGCATTAATGGTCAAGGCTTGAACTATATCTCTACCAGTGTGTAAATCTATCAAACAGATAAATTCTGTCCAAACAATGTCAAAGTTATGAAAGGACAGGCCTTGTTTGCCGGGCAGGTTAAGTTATCCTGAGTTCGGGTCTGACTCATATTTCTCCAGCTGAAGATTACCCAGTAGCTTTCTTCATATTTTCCTCTTACTGTAACATATCCTTGAAGGTTGAGGCAAGAATGACAATCAACATTACAGTCAGGCTTCCAAGAATAGTCTATGAGAATGTTGTTGTTGTTCAGTTGCTAAGTCATGTCCAACTCTTTGCCACCCCAAGGACTGCCACACACCAGGCTTCCCTGTCCTTCACTATCTCCCCGAGCGTGCTCAAACTCCTGTCCATTGAGTCAGTAATGCCATCCAACCATCTCATCCTCTGACACCTTCTTCTCCTCCTGCCTTCAATCTTTCCCAGCATCAGGGTCTTTTCCAGCGAGTCGGTTCTTCACATCAGGTGACCTAACTATTGGAGCTTCAGCTTCAGCATCAGTCCTTCCAATGGTTATTCAGGGTTTATTTCCTTTAGGATCGACTGGTTTGATCTCCTTACTGTCCAAGGGACTCTCAGGAGTCTTCTCCAGCACCACAATTCAAAAGCATCAATTCTTCAGCACTCAGCCTTCTTTATGGTCGAACTCTCACATCCATATATGACTACTGGAAAAACCATAGCTTTGACTATGTGGACCTTTGTTGACAAAGTGATGTCTCTGCTTTTTAGTATATTGTCTAGGTTTGTCATAGCTTTCCTTCCAAAGAGAAAGCATCTTTTAATTTAATTTATGATAAAAACAATATGTTAATGGCACATATTTCCATCTTTCTTTTCTAGGAATCATCACTAATAGGGTATTATTCTTCCCATGGGCAATCACATGAGCAAGTACAGGAGGACCATGAGGCTGCTTCATTCACCCAGACTCCAATTGTGTGTATATCATTTGTGGATCCAAATCCTCCATTACCTCTAACTGTTAATAAGGTAAGAGGTTCTCTTTTTGTACTTTGCCAATTACTCATGGAGCAATCAGCAATTGGATGATTTGATCAAGTTTATTATAAACAGATCACACTTTCCCTCATTCTGTAATGTTACTTGGAGTTCTCCATGGTAGTCTGGGTCTATAACTCTCCTACAAACACAAATTAAAATGGAGAAGTCTTGTTAAGGATTCAGAAGCAGGAGAGCAGGCCTCTAATCTGCTTCTGACCTGCCTGGACACCGCTTGGATTCCATGCCTGCCTGCAAGCACAGCAAATCAGGTGGCACTTTAGATAAGAAAGAGAGTGTGTCTTGGAATTCTTGAGCCCCTGAGGGTCTGGCCAAGCCCCTGGAGTCTAAGGAAATCCTATGACTTATCAAATGAAACAATCGGCATTGTAGTAGTTAAAAAAACAAAACAAAACAGAGCTGCATTTTTGCACACAGTTTGTGGCCTGAGATTGTAAGTGGGTGTTCCCAAAACTACAGTTTGAAGTGTCACCCAGGAGGTGGATGCACTGCTGGGGACCTTTTCCTAATTGGGACTCCAGTTTGCTATTAACAAGGGACTTCTCAGCACTGTTTAAGTCTGGATGTTGGTCAGCCCAATTTGGTGATGTATATATATGCTGTTACTTTTCTCTATTGTTTCTTTCTTTTCTTTTAATGACTGTATACTGAAATTAAGTCAATTAATCCTCTGTTAAATATTGAAATTGTTTATTGTGTGTGACAAGTGGTTTCTTTTGTTAATGAATCTTTCAAACCTAAAACAAAAATTAAACTTTCAGCAAAACATAGGCATTTTAGGTAGTTTCGGATAGAAGATGTAGGTAAACAGCTATGTTTACCTTCTCCTACTCTCAGAGCACAACCATCCCTGAAAGCATTGGAAATAAAACACAAAACAAGCCTCCTGAGGAGGAGAGATACCTCAGCAAGAATATTTTAGTTCTGACACTCTTCATAAGGTCCAGAAGCCTAGAGACACGAAGTTTAGGTTTGATGAGGATAAAAGAATGGGCAACTACTAAGAAACTATGGTACTTAATGCTTTTGCTAGATATTTGGCCACCTGTTAGGAGTTCTTAAGAGCTGAGCTTGAATGAAATTTTGTCAGAGATGCTGGTAGAAATCGTAGTGATGAAAAACTAACGTCAAAATTAACAGCAGCAGCAAAGAACAGCATTAGTATGGGCCATTCAACAGCAGTTTTGCTAAAAGTGTCAGTCATTTAGATGTGGAAAGTGAACCACCTGCCACGTATAGCTGTTTATACCAGAACTATCCTGATTAGGGGCCTCCCTGGTGGCTTAGATGGTAAAGGATCTGCCTGCAATGCAGGAGACCTGAGTTTGATCCCCAGGTCAGGAGATTCCCCTGGAGAAAGGTATGGCCACCCACTCCAATCAGTATTCTTGCCTGGAGAATCACATGGACAGCGAAGTCTGGTGGGCTACTGTCCATGGAGTTGTAAAGAGTTGGACATGACAGAGCAACTAACACTTTCACTTTTCACTTTCACCCTCCAGGCTCTGTCAGGTATTAAGATCCTGGTTTGAATTTTTGCAGTTGTAGGGCTGCGTATTTGGAAGGGAATGAGGAAGAAAGCTATGAGCTGTACACATGGTCTCAAAGTTAGATTTCTTAAGAATCGTTAATTCCTTGCTCAGTCTGCCACTGACTTCCCGTTGAACTCAAGAGAAAGCCTATATACTTTAAACTGGATTTCTCCCAAAGGAAACTGGTTTCACAGTCCTTTGATGAGGTCCTTCTCATTTGGAACCTTGTTCTTTGTTTCTCCTGCTGTTCCCCTCAGCTAAAAAAATCTGATTTTCTTTTGCCACTCTCCAAATCTTTGAACAGTTGGTCTCTTCGACACTGGGTTATAATAATTTTTTTTCTCATTTTTTAAAGCACTGATATATACCTGCCAAAATAAGAGGCACAGACTGTTCAAAGCTTATTACCTATTGTCTGTGTATATCTTGGGTCTACAAATGGATTTAAATCCTTAGAAGCCATGGATTATTACAACTCTGGCTTACATTTGTTTCCCTATTACTAAAGCAAAACAGTTGAAATTTATCTTGACAAAGTTCAAAAGTAAATTTCAGCTTAGTTGTGAATATTTTCCAGGTCCATTAATCAGAGTTGGTTTTTTTTTTTGCATATGTACATTTATGCCACTGGCATTGTTATACCTTGATCAAAACATATGTTCCATGTACAAAGTAAAAGCAATGATTTTCTTGTTATACCATGGAGAGTTGAAATATGGCAGTACCATGGCTAATATTTGTTTTATATAGAAATTACAAGTATAGATAAAGAGCCTTGATGAATATGTTTATTATTAACATATATTAATCCTCTTTTGGTAATTGGTAATAAACTTTTCTGTATTCTTATAGGCATTTTGGTGGTGGTGGTTTGGTCACTTAGTCATGTCCAACTCTTGCGACCCCATAGACTACAGTCAGGCTCCTCTGTCCATGGGATTCTCCAGGTAAGAATACTGGAGTGGGTTCTTGCCTGGAGAATCCTGTGGGTGTGGCATTTTAGGTAACAGTTAAAATGCAGAATATTCATGCCTGACTTGCATCAGATTTCTGTTGTTACTTTGAGGTGTCCATTGATTGCACTCAGATCCAGTTTTTTGTTTCAGGTGAACATTTGATTTTTTAATAAAAGTAGATGCTTTAAATAAAATGCTAATTGTAAAATATTAGACATTATAAACATCTTATATTTACATGTAAAGAGTAAAAATCCTCTTTCCCCTCAATGCGATCCTCAGGGGTAACTACTATGAACAGTTTTTAGTACAGGGGTTGCAAACTACAACCTGTCACCTGGTTTTGTAAATAAATTTTACTGGAGGATAGCTACACCCATTCATTTATGTATTGTCTAGACATGAGTTTGAGTAGGCTCCAGAGGTTGGTGATGGACAGGGAAGCCTGGCTTACTGCAGTCTATGGGGTTGCAAGGAGTCAAGACACGACTAAGCAACTGAACTGACTGACTGACTGAGGGATGCTTTTGCATTGCAACAATGGAATTGAGTAGCTGTGGTACAGATTGTGTAACCAACAAAACCTAAAATATTTACTCTCTGGCCCTTTGTAGCCAGAGTTTACTGACTCTTAATTTAATGTAGCATATATACTTCCAGATTCTCTACATATGTACAAATGTACATGTGCTTTTTAAAAATCTTACTGATGTCACATGTATACAAAAATTACCCAAATGTAATTGTATAATTTGATGAATTTTCTCAAAGTGAATATCCTCAAGTAATCAGAACTCAGTTCAGGAAATAGAATGTTACCAGCATCTCAAAAGCCTCTCTCATACTCCTTTCCTACTATCTCTTAAAGGTCACTTTTTCCTGCTTTCTCACCCTATAGGGTTATACTTTTCTCTGTTTTTTTAAGTTATATAAAGTGGAGTATACATTGTTTTGGGGTCTGGCTTCTTTTGTTCAACATTATGTTTTAAGAACCAGTCATATTGTTGCATATGGCAACAGTGTTCATTCCCATTATGTAAAGAATTTCACTAGGTAAATATGCTATCTTTTACTTATTCATTCTAAGTGAGTGGACATTTGTGGCATTTTCAGTTTGGGGCTATTTTAAATTTTCAGAAATGAACATTTTAACATCTTTTGATGAGTACATGCAGGCATTTCTCACATGTGGTTTTTTTGAAACTGTTGAATATAGATCATATTCTGTAACAACTTTCCAAGTAGGGCTGACTTATTTTGTTATGACTGCATAATATTTAACTGTATGATGTTCTATACCCTATTCTGTTGTTGATCAGCAAGTTATGTGGCAGAGATTGGTGTCTGTTTTCTGAGATCCATTCTCCCTTTCTTCTATATAATAGTGCTTCCACATTTTTAGCTAGATACATGGCTGCCCAGAATGCAGTCTGTATTTTCCAATCTCCCTTTCAGCTAGTCATCACCATATGACTAAGTTCTGGACAATAGACTGTAGGTAGAGTATCTAATAGCAGATTCCAAGATTCTCCCCAAGAAACAGAATGACTACCCCCTCTGCCTTTTTTACTTCCTTTCCTCATTCTTCTGCCTATAAGCACATGCTTGTATCTTGAGGTTAAGGCCCACAGAGTGGAACCACAAGACATAGGAAATCTGGGCCCTGATTGATCAAGTTTTATACCTAGCCTAGACTGCCTCCTTGGAATTTTTCATGGATAAGAAATTAATATCCATCTTATTTGAGCTAAAATATTCCCCCGCCACTCATAAATGAAATGAATTATGACTAATACAAGTTAGCTTCCAAATTTTATCACACAATGTGGCAGAGAGCATCTTTCTATACATCTTTGTATTGTTTAAATTTCTACTTTGCAGAAAAAAATTACTACAGGTAGAATTGTTGGGTCAAAAATTAAGAACATTTTAAACTGTAGATATTGTAAAATATTCTTCTAAATGTTGTATCAATTACATTGCCACTTATGAGTGACGTTTTCTCTTTAAGTACATTGAATGTCAATTTGTCAAACCTCTTTTATTAAAAAAATGAATCAAAACAAAAGACCAAACCCTAATTTTCTTTTTCACGTCTTTGTTGAGGGAAGTTGAGCAAATTTTCATTTCATAATTTTTAAATGAGATATAATTGACATATAACAGTATTAGGTGTAGAATTCATGAATATACTATGCACTTATATATGATAAAGTGGGTGTAGAATTGCTATAAAATTTAAAGGCTCAAGAGACAGTTTTGTGTGACAGGTTAACCTGGGGTATGCACATTAATGCACATTAATGAAGTCTTCTTTATGTATGGTCGGGAAGGTCCCCTGGAGGAAGAAATGGCAACCCACTCCAGTATTCTTGCCTAGAGAATCCCATGGATTGAGAAACCTGGCAGGCTACAGTCTAAGGGTCGCAAAACGTAAAACACAATAAATAACATTCATCACCACACAGTTACAAAATTTTTC